TTTGTGCTGAAATGATGAATGTACTTCAACCCATTTTTCTAAACGTCAGGAGCAATCCTGTGCTTCTATATACAACTTGTTAAAGCACCTTTCTCCTGTTTCCCAGAGCCTTCCTCTGCTGCTGCCAGTGTCATACGTGCCCTGAGAGAGGGTATATACAGTCATAAGCTTAGGAACTGAAGCCAAGGTGGCTATCTAAGCTCTCCTGATGCAACCAGGGAGTCAGCAGATAGGAGAGACCAAGGGGAATCTCCTGTGCCTGCACCTGGTCTCACAATTACAGCTCCTCTTCTTCCTGGGGCCATGCAAGCATAATGATGGGGATGCATTATTAAATTCTAGTAGAATGCATATTCCAGCTTCACCAGGACTGTTTTGAAAGCTGGCACACCAGACAGGGTCCTCTCCAAGAGTCCCAAACAATTGTGTTCTGTTCCTGCCTTGGGGCAGGGGAGCTGACTTGCCCAATACTGTCCCATTTGCTCCACTTTTAAAAGCACCTCGTTGTATCCAGTCCCAAAGGAGAACCTTGTGAATTCTCAGACTCTGTTGGTAATACAATAAACTAAAGACTTTCCACACTTGTCAGTTTAAAAAAATTAAGACAATATAATTCAAAAGACTTTCCCTACCCTCTTAGTACTCTGATTTTTGTTCTTATCCATAGAAATATTTACTCACCATTGCAGCTGATGAAAATCATCACAAACACCACTATCCACCCAACTTCTCTCATTCTCTCAGAACTGCAGGTCTGTCTTCCTTTCTCTGAGAGACCCCCACCCTCCTGGGACCAGACTGCAAGTGAAGAACACTTCCCTTTCTTCTGTCCTTTGTCATCTAGGATCCTCTTTCTGAAACATCACGAGTCCATTTCATTGCTGGGTTAGGTGAAGGGTAATGGAAGGAGAGAGGCTGTATGGATCTCTCCAGTCCCATTCCTTGTCCCCATCCACTTCTCTTGATGCAGCCCAGGTCACAGTTGGCTTTCTGGGCTGCAAGTGCCCATTGCTGGGTCGTGTTGAATATCACAGACTACCTAAGCACACATTTCTACTACAATAGTCCAGTTTGTGGGCAAAAGTCATCATGTTTCATGCTCTGCAGGCTCACGTCATGTTTGCCAAGGGGGTGACTTATGACTGGCGGCCAAGGGACTTTAATCCAGGGGCCATTCTGAATGTGCTCTGTAGGGTACCTTTAAAAGTACTTCCAAGATTTACCAATAGGTGTGATGCACAGGATTAATCTTGGCTTGCTAATTACTACCAAAAGAAGGATTTACAGTTGATAAGAATCATGTATAAAAGCAGATCTACTGACCTAGTGAATTCTGTTTTAGGTGTTTAACCAGTCATTAGAGCAACTTTTGGAATTTTATTCAATAGCCATGATTTTGCATAAGGTTGTGACAACTGCACCAGGAGAACAGTATCTTTGAGCAGGAGGCAAATGTGTCTGAAGGACAAAGAGCCATTTTCTGCTGGAGCTGGGAGAGAAAGGTAAATGGGGTGGTTTTGCCACAGCCTTGTCCCATCACAACAGATACCTGTTTGCTTGGGCTGAAGTGTTTACCTTGCATCTGAGCTCGGACCCATCTCTGGAAGTGCTGCTGTCTGTCAGTGATGGCTTGTTCCCTCTCTGTTAGGGCAATGAGAGCTGGAGTTTATCTTCCTTTTGCCAAAGTCAGTAAGCTGATGAGAACTGTACAGATCTCATTTCAGTCCCAGGTGGAGGCATGCCCACCCAGGGGGCACTTGCCCGGTGACTGGGGCTGAGCCCTGCTGATTGCTACAGTGGAACTTGCCTGGGGCGAGCAGAGGCCACCTGGAGCAAAAAGCTGAATGTGATGTGGCAAGACCTGGTGCAACAAATTCATCCAAAGCTCCAGGCTGAGAGTCACCACCTGCTGCCATCCAGCCAAGGAAGACGACAGAGGCAGCAGCACCTGTTCTTGCAGAACAAGTCTATGTAAGACATTGAAACTGGATTTTTGCTGACTTTACATCTCTGCTGCAACTACCAGTGTGGTACCAGCACACATAGCTTCTATCTGTCTACCCATGCTGCCTCTGAGGAGCCTTTAGTGACGTTTGAGTCCTGCCTAAAAGCAAACAAGCAGACAAAAAAGCACTTGTTAAAATTCAAGCTATGTCAGTCAAAGAGGGAATATGAATCCATTTTCATAGAGATGATTTAAAACAAACCTTTTCCACACCCTGGCTATGACAGAGAAACAGTCTGCTACACAAAAGACTTTAAAAGAAGCTAGATTTTGGGGAACATGCCCTGGAACAAGCTGAAAACCCAAGCTAAAACTGCTGATAGGACTACTTTCTGAACCGGACATGCAAGACTTCCTGAGGCTATAATTATACAGGATAAAAAAAAAGAAGACTATTTAACTAAAATAGACATGAAGTACTGCAGTTCCTCAAATATGATGTACATGACATCTTTCTCTCTCTGGACACAGCTGCTAGTCTTCCCCCTGAGTCACACAGTCAGCCCATTTCTTCTTTACTGGAGGGACTCCTTACAGTTTTGAATCTGAACATATGAAAAAAAAGCCTTCAGTGTCTCAGACATTATGGCCAGCTACCCAGTTTATTAAAATGCAGTATTTTCCTCCAGTGTCTCTTCTGTGGGTTGAACATGCTGCTCTCTCCCACGCAGCACCACGGGTAAGGCACCCTGTTCCCCAGACATCCACCTTACTCCCAACACACAGGAGTTCAGGACACTCTTCCAAGCATCATTTCTTCAAGTATCACAGTTCAGGCACTCTTTATTCTGTAATTTTTGCTACTCCATCTCAGGCTAATTAGAGGTGACACAGTAAAGTCCTTGTGTCCCCAAACTTGAGCACAGATGGGCCCTCAGACCCTGCTCATAGGGACCAGCTCTGCTGAGCCTGCATTTTACTCTCAAGTTCTGACAAAGTCTGCCAGAAGCTAGAGAAGTTTGCTACTATTTTTCCAGTGATGAAATAAGATTCTTAGCATGCAAGGGGGTGAAATTCAGTACATGGCTTTGAGCAAATCACCGAAAGTAGGTAACTAAAAAAGAAAGATCTGAAAGTGCTCTTTTTGAACCATATGCACTCAAAAAAGAAGAAATTTTTACGTGAGACATTCTTGTTTGGTCCAGCCATAGCCAAATCACAGATCTGACTCATCAGACTGTGATTTACTAAGTACTTTTTGGATGTCCTACAGAGGCTGATTGTGTGAGCACCCCCAGCCATTCACCCCACAGCTCTCACACACACCAGGCAGTTGGGCAGTCAGTCATGAAAACATAACCTTGTTCTACCTAAAGGAACAGAAATTAGTGTAAATGAGCATTTCCCCTGAAGGCCTGCATGACAGAAACATGATGTACAAGTACTCCGTCTGAAAAAATTCCCTTCCCTTCCTAGGAATTCCAAGGTCAATGACATCAGTTCTGGGTTACCCATTAGCTTGGCCAAATCCTTGTAAACACCTCCTGACACCAGAAAGGGACCCATATATATGATGTCCTTTGAGTACTCATTTCCTACTGGTGCCACAGGTGGGTTGCACACACACAGCTCTCAGAGCAATTCAGATGTGCCTTTACCTGCAGTTGCCACATGTACCAGCTGCTGGTTCTCTCGATAGTCTCATCACTGTAGTGATGCTGGCTCCTTGCAGGCTGTCCAGCTCCTCCTCCTGGGGCGCCATGGCTGAGCTCTAGGTTTGGTAAACACAAGTGCTGGTCTGGGATGATCTGCTGTGACCTCAGCTCATCCTCTGGCTGTTGAAGTGCTGCCCAGGGACACCCCAGGCCAAATCAGGATCAGGACCTTGTCCAGTTGTCCCACAGTGCATGCAGACACAAAACACATGGAGACCATATTTCATGGATTTCTTTCCAGTTTCATGAGCTTGCCCTACAACAGCTGTGTTTAACATCACCAGCTCCTGGTGCTGGCTCTCCAGCCAGGATAACACTGCTGTTTATCCACGTTGGTGGGGCTGCACTGTCCGTGGCTTTGCAGCGCAGCTGGAATGGAGTGATTTTGTGGCGAGCTGTGGGACTCCTGACAGCCATCACCCGTGGAGTGTCACTGGTGAGAGTGCCCTGTGTGTGCAGACCACAGTGTGACCACTCTGTCCCTCAGGGGAAAGCCCTTTGTCTCCACACCTCTACCTTACCTCAGTGCTCCCTCCTCCTCAGGTTGGAGCTCTGGCCACGTCATGACACCTCAAAGAACACTGCAGGTCATTTCAGGTGCCCACAGCCATGTCCCTGCTTGGGGGACTGTCCCTGCAGTCAGGTTGAGCTCAGATGGGTGTGCTGTGCTCTAGCACCAGCTACATACCCTTCCCACCTCCTCTGACCTAACACGTGCCCAAACACACAGTCACACCTATTTTAAAGACCTTTTTTAAAAGAAAGAGAACATTACTGCAGGGCTCCAAAGCCTACAGCCTCATCTCCAGTTAAAGGAAAAACAGACAATTTACCAGAGACTTTCAACACTGTTGATTTACCATCACATTAATGCTGAGCCAGGTGTGAGTTTTTTGCTGTTTTCTGGAAAACCCTTTCGCTGAAAATTCTGTACCTTGCAATACTATTGCAACAGTTTTCTTCTCCTACTCACCTTCCTGCTGAGAAAGAGACTGCCAATCTCCTCAGGCTTTTTACACTCTCCATAACAGAACTCATTTGTTTTCACACCTCAAACATTCCATTTCATTAGCTCAGAACCTTACACTGGACTTATCAGCAACTCTCCCATTCCTTGAACTGTGGCTGACTGCAGGCTACAAACCTCACATGACACAACATGGAGAACATAGCCCAAACTCCAGCAGATTCTCTGGAATTCCTCTGCAGAGGGACCTCCACACTCCTGGGAGCATCATTCCTGGACACATACAGGTGCTCACACACACACCAACCCCTCTTCCACCACCTTTATAGGCAAAACAAAGATAAGTTTAACAAAATCTGCAAACTTTGCAGTCCTGAAGTTTAATGATTTGCATTTGCTTCTCCACACCTGCAGTAAGCTGCAGATACATGCTGGCAGTTTTCTCCATGACACCAGTGGCTGTGTTCCTCTTTTTCTGTTTGGAAATCAAGGTTTCCCAGCACTTGATTTTTAAGTACATTCTGAACAAAGAGAAATAAAACTTGTGGTGCAAGAAATGCAGGGAGAAAGTATAAGGTCACTGATAAGTGCCTGGAAAGCGTTTGTGGCAGTGAGTGCATTTTGATGAATTTTTATATCATTCCTTCCTCTAATTTTCCATTGGACCTCTGGGTCTCTCAGCCCAGAGTGAGCAGCACCATGTTCCACACTTACTTCTGTGTTGCATACAAGAAGTACTTTTCCTTGCCTTTTAAAAGTGCTACCAGACAATTTGCACTAATTTCTGCATCCTTTTCAGAGAAGTTGTAGCCAAACAGTCCCTTCACCTTCTTGGCACTGGTCACCATGAGCACACTTTGCTCATTTGTTCCTTTTTCTCTTTTTTCCAAGCTGACCAAAAGACTGCATTTGCACAGCTGTGGTTTTGTGCTAATAATTATCCTTTATAATCTTTTTCAGTAACTTTTCTTGCTCTGCTAAGCCACTCCAAGATGAAACCAATATGCATACATAAGGTGGCAGCATTCCATGGTGGGTTTCACAGTATTGCAATGCTGGTTTTTGACTGGAATGCCTTTCCATTAGCACCTCACGCTCTCTTGGGATGCTGGTGAGTTTTCAACCAATGCTCACAGAGACCTGAGGTGCAGGTCCAAGTGTGAGCAGCACATCTGGGGCCCCACTCATCCTGTGCCTCTGTCACCAATGTTCCCCTCACATTACACCTCCTGTTTTACACATGTCCACGTGACTTTTAATAGGACACAAGATTGCCCTGTTCATTATAAAAAGGTTCTTCTGGAACTGCAGTACCCACATTATAGATTTACTCAGGGCAGTAGAAATTATTCATAACTTACCCTTCAGGCCCTTTAAGGTGGGGGAAAAGTGCTTCCTGAGTATCTACTGAGGAGCTGTGAGTGCTTGCTGGCATTTAAAGATGAGCTGTTTGTGCAGAATTATGCACATCAAAACATGTGAGGCATGTGTAAACAATCTGATCCCAAACTTACGGAAAAGTATCTAATTTCTTTCAAATATTAAACATGCATTTAAAGAGAGACCAGAGAATGTGAGCTCAGAAAGAATGTGCTTGGTTGCAGTACCAGAACTGTCCAGAGCTATGACCAGTGTGTCTGTACTTCTGTGCTGTGGAGGGAGATCGAGGGCAGCACAGAAGCTGAGCAGGAGCATTCCAACTTCTTGCACTGCTGCTCCTGGTGTGGCAGGTTCCTGGTTTTCTCCTAGCTTTAATCTGCCTTTCAGTGTTTCTCTAAGGGCTCTCTTGCATGAAAAGGACATTCTACCACCTGTGCAGCATCGTGTGGGCAGGAGGAGAACCATCAATTCCCAGGCCAGCTGCATCCTGCCCTGCTCACCCCCGGGGATGGGGATGATGAGCAGCCCTTGGTGCTGGCTCTGCTCCCACCACATGAAGACTGGGAATGCTGGTCCTTTTGGCCATATAAAGCGGTAAGTTTAGCACAGTGCTCCCAGCCTGGGACCTGCATTCCCCAGCTTTCAAAGGGTTTCTTGGGCAGATCTGATGAAAGGGAACCAAGGAAAGCAAAATCAGAAGTTCTATACAGCAGTCTGTAACTGAAGTTCCTGAAGAGGTGTGCATTTTCACTGCAGGGATTGTGAAGGAAGAGCAACCACTGCTTGTCCAACCTATTTTTCAGAGGCAAAGGTAAAAGAAAGATAAATTTTGCCTGGGTGAAGGTGCTCTTCAGGACTGGTACCTGCAGAGCACTGTTGGCTCTCAGGAAGTGTCTCCTACTTCATACTCATGTTCCTGGGGGTTTCCAGCACAGTCAGACGTGTTCTTATTTACTTCAGCGCTTTTGTTTTCCATGGGCTCCATCACATAGTTGTTTTCAGTGAAGCAGATGGGTTCCTCATAGTGCCCTGTGCTTTCATGCCTTGAAGAGGCTGCTGCTCTCGAGTTCTGGCTGAAATCAAAATGCAATACGAAAGAAGAATAGCAGCCAGAGTAGACAAAGCATCTCCCAAGCCATCAGGATTTTGAGCAATAATGTGGTCTGACTCAAACCCATGTAAACCTGAGCCATTGGATTATGGCAGTATTCTGAAGGAGAGAATTTTGTCCTTTGCTTTCAGGTGGCAGGAGAACCTTGGGCATTGTAGCAGCATTGCTTCCAACCCAGAGAGGGTTTCCAGAGAGAGGCAGCAAAAGGTGTGTAAGCAATGCAAGGGTTACCACTATTTCTTGGAATGCCATAACCAGACAGCTGCTCTTTGCAAGAAAAATACACATATATCTATATAATTATAAAAAGTGCTGGAGGAATAGTAAAATGAGAACTGAAAGCAGCCCACATCCACCGTGTGGCTTATGATATCTAGTATTTTTAAAATGAAGATAAATCCTCTGAGGAGAAATACCATCACAGCATTTGTTCAGTTGCTCAGGGTTCAGCTGTTACTTAAACTGCTGCCTTACACACTGCTGGGGAAGCCCAGCACCGGGGCAGACGCTGCTGGCACATCCCACTGTGGCACTCAAGTTAGCAGCACTTTAATTTATACCTAGGGAAGTGGTTCTCCTTGTATGTTTTGACTGGATTATCAGGCTTTTCAGTATAACTCCCACAGGTTACAAGTAGATCAGGATGTGAAACCCAAATTTAGAAAAAGCCATAACTTCCTGCCACAGATATGGTTAAGAAGAAGCAAGTTCAGCCAAGGATACTTTGGGATAAATCGGGGTATAAGTAGTGCATCAGGAGCCTCTACTCTCTAGTTCCTGTTCTTTGCTTTTGAAAAAGCACTAGGAATTTATCCTTGACAATCATCTTCAGTAGCCCTCATTGGGCTGAGGAGTTAATAAAGAGCTCACTTTTACAATTCTGATATTGCTAACAAAAAGATCTTTCTTCCCACATTCTGTGTTGCTGTGGAAAGCCTGAGGGCCATCCTATGTGACTGGAACCTCTTCACCCTGGCTGCTTAAGGGGCTTTTCATTCCGTCAGCTAATAGCAGTGCTTTTTATTTCTGCTCTGATACAGCCCCCCCCCGGATTCATCAGTGTGTCAGATAAAGAGTTATACTCACAATTTTACGTCATAGACTTGAGCTGGAAAAGAATGATCAAATTTGTGTCAATAATTTGCATTCACATTCTTAAAATAAATTTCTACATTTATCTTCTTGATATAAGAAAATTACCTCTTAAGACAGAATAAAAATAACAACTTTGGAGGTCATGTCAGGTGGGTGATGACTCTAATTCTCAGGAATCAGTCCAAGAAAATGAAAACAACCCATATCCCAGCTGTTGCACAACTGGGTCAAAATAACTAGCCCAAGGTCAAAGGTAAAGCTGAGTTTAGAAACTAAAAGTTCCCGGTTCCCCCCAGTTTCCCTGTTCATTAGAAGTTCAATAAAGCACAGTTTTGAAAGAGGTTATTCTGATTCCTTAAAAAAAAAAAAAAAAGGTAAAAATAAGAAAAAAAAGCAAAAGGAATATTTGACAATTATCAGTTGGTAGCATGGAGTAATAGAAAAGTCATTAAAGAAACAAAAGGACAAGGAGAAAATTAAGTCTGTGGGATCTAAACCCCCAAAGCCCCCATGTGCTCTCTGCACACAGCCAAACACAGCTGCTGAGGAGGGGGCTCCAAGGAACATTTGGCTGGGGGCATTTCTGGTGGCAGTGCAGGAGAGACAGAGCCATTCAGCGAATGCATCCTGTGTCTGAAGGCCAGAGAGGAAACAAATTAATCTGGAATAGAAAGAATGAACAGTGACCTCTTTCCTCTGGATATCAACTACGGGAATTATTGAAGAGCGGCTGGTGCCAAAGGCATTTCCAAGCAGTGGGTTGGGACAAACCCATTGCCAGAGACTTTAAAGGTTTGGAATGATGAGCTTGGCTGAGCAGGCAAGTCTGAGCTGTGGGATGTCTGTGAGGAGCAGCAAGAAACAGCCACCCCCAGTCACTGTGGCAGAGCAGCCGTGCACCGTGGGGGGGCCTGGGGCAGGGACTGAGCTGCCCCAGAGCCAGGCTGGGATGGGGGAAACCACTCGGGAGTACCAGGGCAACTGCTGCCCTGAGCCCTGCAGCCAGTGCCTGGCAAACCCTTCTGAATGTGGGGACTTCTCTGCCTCTTTGGATCTTCCACCACCTATGTCAATCTGCTCATGTTGTCATCCACTGTCTGTACGATGCAGATGCCAGAGCTGCAGCTGGTGGCTGTGAGCACAGCCCTAGCCCCCCAAGACCCCTCAAAGGTAAAACCATGCTGGACATGCACAAAACATTCGGGTTTTCCAGAACATTCTACTCACCATCTTTGGGCTTTCTAATGCAAATGATAAAAGAGATGACAAGGAAAACCACAGCACCACACACCACAGCAATCAGGATGACCAGGTACAGGGACAGGCCGGTCCTCTGGAAATCTAAAGGAACACAGCAGAGGACTTTCAGGCAGAGGAGCCCTCCTGAGTGACAGCAGCAGCAGTTAGGTGACACTGACCCTGTCCCTGAGGATGGCAGCAGCCAGACTGCCTGGCACACAGGGCTGTGTCCCTGCACGGCCCCGTCCCCACAGCCCCTGCCTCCCGTGGCTCTGGGCTGTGCTGTGTGACCCAGCACTGTGTGTACCCTCGCCAAGGGACCATGGCCAGACACACAGCGCCCATCTCCTAACGCTGAGGCACCAGGGGTGCGAGCAGGGCAGAATTATTGCACTGCACATCGTGAAACAAAGGGTCTCAGCTTTCCTTTCAAGGGTGCTGCTCAGTTGTATCTGGAAAGTGTTTAAACCTGTCACAAAGCTGCAAAGCTGGTGAACGTGCAGGAGATCTGCTTGAGGTGCACACTGAGGCTTTTCTGCTATTCCAGCTTGGACACTCAAAGATAAAAACAGACCAGCTGCTCAGGAACACAGGAACAACTCTGTGTGCCCCACCTATGAGCGTTTTTTTCTTTCATTCCCCCCTAAAAACATTCAGAGTCTTTCGAAGAGTCAACAGGAATCATCTAGATTCCTTGAGAACAGCTGTTAATACAATTTGCAGCCAGCTAAAGGCAGAACACAAATTTTGATGCTGAAGTTGCTGACTACAGAGCATCTGTTTTGGGTCCCTAGTCTTCTTTTCAGCTTGGTTTTGCTCTCGCTTACCCTGAGTTGTATAATTCCTCTCTGGATATCCCACACCACTCTCGGAAGTCACTGCAGTCACTGTTATGGGCAGATCTGCAAACAAACAGGAGTGAAAGGCTAACAGTGCATTTCCAACCCTCATTTTAGCACCAGGAGACCTGGGATTAGAGCTGTGGGATCAGAAGAGGATGCCTCCATCCCCTTTACAAGGTAGAGAAAATAGGCAAACTACAGAAATGAGTACTATGGATACACTATATTATAGAGAGAGTATATGTAGTATACACTGAAGAGATACTATATAGAGTGTATATATACTATATATACTATGTATACACAAACTACATACATACACACACTAGGTGTGGATATGTATTTGTATGTCTGTACACACACACCTGTAGTAGTGATGGAGCCCCATGGAGTCCAGGAGATTCCTGAGGTACCTATGAACACCAGCTCTGTTTGGGTTTTTTCTGCAAGGACAGTCAACACCTGTCAGCATCTTCCCTGAGTCACCAATGCCAGTTTCCACAGCCCCCATGTGATTGCTTGGGCATAAGTCCAAATGAAACATAACCCAAGCACAGAAAGAGTCCACAAGCAGACCTACTCTAGCCCAGGCTTGAATTCCCACATCCCACAAAACCAAACTGGAAATCACCAACCCTCCCTCAGAACCGCTGTGCTTGGTTAGGTACATGTTTTCAATCAGGTCTGAAGCAGCTTTTGCATCCCTTGTATCTGCCACTGGAAACACCAGCTCTGCCTACCCTCAGTGCTTCCATTCAAAAAACAAGCAAAAAAAGCCCTTTAGAAAAGAACTGAACCCAGAATATCCCGTACACTCTTCAAGTTAGGAAATGGCATTTCCAGCAGCACTAAGACAGGTAGTCTCTCCTACAGAGACCCAACCTCCCTACAAGCAAGCAAACAGCCCTCTGCAGGCTGGAGACTGAAGGAAGGAGGATGTTCCACCTTCAGAAACATCAGGATTAAAAACTGAGGCATATGGACTAAAGTTCAATACTGTCAAGAGTCTGTTTGCCAGCAGTAAAACCCACTGCCAGCTGCTGGTGCCACACCCTGCCCCAACACCCATTCCTTGCCATCAGCTGTCACCGCTCTCACCCTAACCTGTGGTTAGGTGGTGTCTCCCTGGGGTTCCCACATCCCTCCACGAGGCCGCTGTTGTTGTGGGCAGATCTGCAAGGTGAATGGGAGGGAGAGGCTTACACAGGGGTTTGACCATGATGGTGATGCTGGTGTGATACAGATCTCTCCACAGGCGGGACAGGAGCAGGAGGAACCAGCCCCATGCAGTGGGCAGGAGGGGGATGCCGTGGCAGCAGTGTCAGCCAGCATGGCCAGCATTCATCCCTGTTCCCGTGCTGTTTGCTCCAATGTGCGACTGCTGTGAAAACCACCACGGTGTTTCAGGCAGAGCTTCGTCACCAGGGAGCTCAGCAAACTTTGCCTCTTTCACAGGCCAGTGTGTGTGGTACTTGTGCTTGGCTGTGCCATCATGGGCTTCACAGCTCTG